CAACCCCAGTTCCCTCAGCCGCTCCTCATCAGACTTGTTCTCCAGACCCTTCACCAGCCTCGTTGCCCTTCTCTGGACACGCTCCAGCACCTCAACGTCCTTCTTGTAGTGAGGGGCCCAAAACTGAACACAGTATTCACGGTGTGGCCTCACCAGTGCTGAAAATGCATTAAAAATCATACCTTTTTCAGAAACTTCTGAGTTTCCATTGCATGTTCCCTCTACAAGAGGAAGAAAACTGGAGAGCCAGTTTTCTGGGGCGGGAAATCACAAATCTTCATTCGTAGAGCACTGGAAATTTTTGCAGCGTGTATAGTACCGGTGTCTGACACAAGACTCGGTATGTGTTCACCTTCAGTGAGACCTTAGGTGGAATGTACTTTGCGGCACTGGGCACCGCCTTTTAAAGAAAATTTGTATTAGCCAGAAGAAGACAAAGCAGAGCAACAAGCTAGTGACAGATTTAGAAAGCAGGACTGTTAAAGAACAGCTGAAAGGATTGGGATTGTTTATTCTAGGAAAAAAGAGAACACTGTAGGATGGGCATAAGGCTTTAAAAAGATAAGAGGTTTTTATAAAAGCAATGGTGGCAGTTGCTCTGTAGATTTAAAAAAAAAAAAAAAAAGGAAGTTCAATTTGCACGAAGGGTAATTTAGGATAGATGTAAAGAGAAAACAGTCCGAGCTTTTTTGTTTTACCTCATATCTGACTGCAAATATGGATGAAAAACTGGGATATTTTACCTATAACTGTCATGAAAACTATGATAGGAAATTTTTAAAAATGCATGAAGCAGCAGCTTTCAGAGACGATCTTGGTAATTTTGACCTTCCGCCAGTGGCAGTGGGCTGAGCAGATTGCTCTCCTGAGATCCCTCTTCAGATCCTCAGTTTCTGTAATTCTGTCAATTTAATTGCAGGATTAGCTTTGGTTTGTTTCCCTGCAAACTTTTTCTATTACTGGTAATATACTTCAGTTTAAGATATGTGGTATTTAAAGTCTTTATGTGCAGCACTTTTCATTACAAAAAAACTCAACCAAAGGACCTTTTTTCTTAAATAAAATGCTTTGAAAAGCTCTTATTTAAAATGGAGTGAAATTCAGGTTCAGCAACCTTTGGAAGTTTGCCACTGATTTCCTTGAATTCAGATTTCCGTTGAGACGGTAGGCTGAAGTGTAGCATAAGAAATAAATACACGCAAAACAAATGTGGGAAGCTATCGTACCTGTCTGTTGCTTGAATTCATGTTTCTTAGATTTTTATGCCAAGAGTTTATGGCATTTGTTCGTGAGACTAATGGCTGTGTTTATGGAGGGTTTTTTTGTGACAGAATATATTTGTGTTACTAAATGAATTTCTTTTGATCAAGCTTTAAATATGTTGCGATGAAGAGCTGACTTAACTGATTCTTTGCCTACATTTTTCCCAATAGCTCCCTTTTTGGAGCATGGTGCCAGAACATGCTAAATATCTGTGTTACGTCCCTACAGTCTGCATTTCCAGAGACATGTTTCAAGCCTTTTCAGAGAATAAAGGACTATTTGAGTTTTCAGTTAGTATCTGGCACAATACATTGTCCTTCGATTGGGATGAAGTAGTGCATTTTCTAGGTTTTCATCTTTTTTAGAGCTTTGTTCTTAAACTCTTGGGTGTACTGCATCCTTAAAGGGACACATGGTTTTAATTTCTGGGTGCCTGTGGTCCTTACTCTCATTTTTCTTTTCTCTGGTTTGATGAGCTGGTAGAATTCTCTTATACTTGTCAAGCTTAAATGTGATTCACCCTTTTGTTTAGTTCCTTCTGAAGAGAATCAAACCTTTTTTTTCTAGCTTAGCATATGTGAATTCTATTGCACATGCAGTGAAATCAGGTTTTATAGTGCATCAAGTGAGCAAAGCCATGGATACCTGGCAGGACAGAGTTGAGCATCATTACCAGGTACCATCTTGCTCTACATTAAACCTAACGATGTCGTGTTTGGATGGCAAAACACCTCCAAGGAAAGTTTCATAAGCCCTGTACTGAAGTAGAGAATAGATTGCTTTTTATTATCATAAAAACAAATGTTTCGTTTTCTAGGAGCCAGACTGCAGTCTTCACAGTTTATTGGACAATGAAATTTATCCTTATTAAGGTGTCAGTGTGAATACGTCTGATAATTGTTATATAAAAATTCAAGCCAAAAATACACAGACGCTAATGTTTAGGTACTTTGCTCATTTTAGTAGGGTAAAAATACCTTGGCTTTCTTAAAAGTAAATCTCTGAGTGAAGGCGATGGGACGGCCAGACAGGAAAGAGGTTTTTCACTCATGAAGCACAAAATCGTATTTGAAACTAGTGGCGTGTGTGCAGTTGAGAACTTTATCATCTTTGTTGCCAGAATGCAGATTAAACTTTAGTAGAGTAGATTTTTTAAAAAGTTGTTGTACATTAGCATTTTCTTAAATATTAGATTTTTTTTTTCTGTGTTCATGACGTTTTATGGAAATGAAGTGTGTACAAAATAGGAAGTGGAAACAGTTATTTCAGAGTTTCAAAGGAGGAATAATATTCTAAGAAACCTCTCTGATTAAGTGTTTATGAAGAAATAATTAAGAATCATTTAATATTGAAATCTTAACATCATAAATGGACTGTATTGCTTACTATTGCTTATCTTCTGTTTCAACTGATTCTTTATTTTTCAGCTTGGAATGAACAAGATGAACATATCCACCTTCAGTCTAATGCTTAATGAGGAAAAAGGTCAGGCGCTTTTTTTTTTTTTAATCCTGTGGCCTACTGTTAATTAGTATATTAAAAAGTACTTTATATTTGCATTACTTATTTCATAGATCTTAAATAACAAACCAAATGTGATGTTTTAATAGGAGGGTGAGAAAGAGTATTTTTAAATCGAATGGTATATTCATAAAACAGCTGACTCAGACCAGTGTGAGTAGAAGAAGCTGCTGTAGAAGGAAAGGTCATGTATACAAATCTTCATAGATATTCATTTTAAAATGATTAAACTTACAATTAATGGACCTCTTGTATATCAAGAAAGAAATATTTGTCATAATTTTCATGGAGCGAAAGCATTTAAAAGGATTCAAATCACCCACTTTTTTTTTTTTTTTTAAATATCCTTGAACTTCTGAGTCCTCTTTTAGAAAACAGAGAACTGCCTGTCTGTTAAATAAAACAGCCGTGCCAAACTCTCCAAATACTTACACATTCAATTAGTATATCACTGAATAACAGTGAGTAATAATCTACTAATGATAGAGATTCATCTATCATATTGTACAGGTTTGTAGCATACCAGATTTCAAGAGGCAGCCCAAGCTCTCAAGCACTATTACATTTATGCCAGATAAGGCTGTAGAGTTTGCATTAAGGTGTCTGAATAGCTGATTTTTATGTTATCATATTTTTTTAATATCTTAAGAGTATTTCATGAGGGGAATTGCTGAGTAGAGATACATAATTCAGTAAACAATTGAAAAATAAGACCTGGAGAAAAAATTCCGTGTGTCTAAAAATAGTATAGTCATGTGACTTATTACTTTGGCACAAAAGCATAATTTACAGGTTTAATTTGCAATCCTCCTATGTTTCTGACATTGTCTTGCACAGAAACTGAATCTGAATTATTCAAATGATTCAAATATTGCTGTGTCCTGAACTCCAGGTGTCTAATACAAAGGATTTTACATAGTTAATTGAGGCCTCTGCATTTAAGATATGGGAGTATGATTTTCATCTTTACCATTTATTGCTTAATTTTTGATATTACAGTGCACAGTTAATGGAGATCTGGGGCTAATCTGGTAATTGTTACGCCAGCCTTCCACCATATTTCCAGCAATCCAATTTTTTCCTTTTTTTAACTGCGTATCTAAAATCTAATTGAGTTTTCATGTTCAGGTTTTGAAATAGTTACATTTAAATATTCTTTTCTTTTAAAATTAACTTTTTTATTTTCACAACTTTGTATTTCCCTAGTAACCGGTAAGTCAATAATGTACAGCAAAGCTGTCAATTAGCACTGACCGCTTACAAATAGTTATTATCTATTTATTTTCTGCATCTATTTATTAGATACCTTAAGAACATTCTGTATCAGATGTTCCTGAAATTCATATAATCTTCCTTATAAAACCGTTACAAAAATACATTTAATAATTTCAGATTTTTGGAAGCCTGAAACATGAGAATTGAAAGAAGTTTGTTATTTGTTTATTCCTGTGCTTGGATCTCCTTTTGAAGTAATTTCAACTTTGGTCTGAAACTTTAAAATATTTATAGCTAAATCATTTCATAATAATCAGCATGTTGCTATTAGAGTTTTAAGTTTATGTTAATTTTAACTTCCTTATCACTTTTTCTGACAACTGTGAATGTCTGCAATGGTCATTTTTCTAATAAATCTGTGTGTTACGTTAGCAAGAGTGATCCCACTGTGACAAAGCAGATTTTTCTGTCTTAATATCCTCTTCTGTTGTGTCGGTTGGTCTTGGAAGGTCTGAATTCTCTCTCTTGTATGCGCAGATTGCTTTTTTTCTTCCACATTTTGCGGTCATCTTTTTTCCTTGACGTGGAGTCATGGTAACTTTCCCTGACAGACTTTTCGAGAGCTTGATAGTTTCTTGTAGAGCTAACAGAATCTCAGTTGGTCAGTGTTATAACCATGAAAGATACCTGAAGCCACAAAGAATTAAGATGTACTTGTGTTTGCTCCAAAATACTAAATTCTGGGAAAGCATTACATCAACAAAATCAGAATACTCTAAGAATTGTGGCTTTCTTACAGCAAGATAGGTTTTGGAGGAGACAGAAATTCCTATTCAAAGAAAGCCCCCAAAAAATGGCCTTCCCAGTTGCAGAACTGATGATGTATCATCACTGCGTCATGAAGAAAGAAGAAAAAGAACTGTGGAAAAGCTGTTCAGTAAAAGAGTTCAAGTATAATTTCTCTTTATATTATAGAAAGCTTAGACCTTTAAATTCCCCAGCTAGGAACCTCACTATGCAACTCTTCCCTGCTATGCAATACTTTTACTTGCTTTCTTGTTTCAGAAAATAAAAAAAATAAACAGTTTGTATAAGATCGTTTTAGCTTTATGTCTGCAGATTGAAACAAGACCACTGAAAAGTAAATGTATGAATGGCTTTTGGCCATTAAAAGAAAAAAGGAGAAAACATCCAAGTCCAGGTTTGCTTTTCCTAGATCTGTAGGTTGCTGAAGATGGGCATCGTGTATTAGACAAGTTCCTCACTTCCTTATACGAGTTCCGCTAAAGTGACAAGTGGGTGTAATAACATTTCTTCACTTCTTATTAACATGTGGGTTAGTAATATTCTATTTCATAGTATTCCCTAGGACAGGTTTTGATAATGGTGACATGATTCTTATCTACAGAATAACGTGGTTGATTTAAATTACATACCAAATGTTAGTCTTAATTTTTAAAAAATCTGAGTGCTTGCATTATTTTGACAGTAAAGTAGGCCTATCTGACATGCACACAGTTTTGACCTATTTCCCTTGTAAAGAAGAAAATTAATGTGGTGGAGGGCCTGAAAGAGCATTATGACTCTGTTGTATTCTTGTAGGGACTTTATCGGGTGACCGTTGTATTTATTAAATACTGAGTAGACAGAGCGGAGGTTTAAAAAGAAAATCCTTTTGTCTCCTGCCATCTTTTTTGATTGTCATGTGGCTCAGTTTTGCTTTTTGTCAAAACCCTCTCAGAGATGCTGTGTGTATGCATACGTGCACACGTGTACACAGAGGATGGACTTTCTCCATTCTTTCATTGGAAGTGAAAACCTCAGTTGCTCCCAACTCTGGGAGTTACACAGATAGATGTGTTAAAAGGCAGTCATACTCTGAGCAAGTTTTGGGTTTGGGTACTATACGTACGCTACATAAAGGATGCTAAAAGAATCACGCTCCTTCCCAGTTCAGCCATTGCCTTGGACAACTGTAATGACACGGTTAAATCTCCTAAACTGAAGATACATTGCAGCTCAAGGAACTCTACTTTTTACCTGCACTATGAATCATAGAATCATAGAATCATTAAGGTTGGAAGAGACCTCTAAGATCATCAAGTCCAAGCGTCAACCCAACACCACCATGCCCACTAAACCATGTCCCTAAGCGCCTCATCTACCCGTCTTTTAAATACTTCCAGGGATGGTGACTCAACCACTTTCCTGGGCAGCCTCTTCCAATGTTTAACCACTCTTTCAGTAAAGAAATTTTTCCTCACATCCAATCTAAACCTCCCCTGGCACAACTTGAGGCCATTTCCTCTCGTCCTTTTGCCAGTTACTTGGGAGAAGAGACCGACCCCCACCTCGCTACAACCTCCTTTCAGGTAGTTGTAGAGAGCGATGAGGTCTCCCCTCAGCCTCCTTTTCTCCAGGCTGAACAACCCCAGTTCCCTCAGCCGCTCCTCATCAGACTTGTTCTCCAGACCCCTCACCAGCCTCGTTGCCCTTCTCTGGACACGCTCCAACATCTCAACATCCTTCTTGTAGTGAGGGGCCCAAAACTGAACACAGTATTCAAGGTGCGGCCTCACCAGTGCCGAGTACAGGGGCATTGGTAGGAAGGATATCCGATGTAAGGCTACAACTTCTGATTAGTTAATGGCATGCAAGTCCAAAATGCTCCAAGAGAAGAGATTCATATTGTGTGCTCTTAATGATCAGCTAGAATCCATGAACATAAATCAGTCTTTCTCCGTGAGAACCTTTTCCTTATTGTTTTATTAGTGTAGATTCCTAAATAGTAGGTCTGAAGTGACTGCTTTGATCATGTAGTCTGACAGCATAGGAAACCAAATAATATAGGGTTCTGTCCATCCATGTGCAGGGACGCAGGGCTGGCTGAGCTGGGGCATGTCCAGTGGGCTACTGGTAAAGATCGCTGGCTGTGGTTGTAGAGATAGGTACAGTGGCCTGGACTCTTGACATTTTTGCTATTTATGAGTGAATTCATCCAAATAGCTGTCATCTTATAGAGTGGTTAAATTGGGGTCTTCAGATCCTAAAAAGTTCTACAGCATCAGAAGTTGTATAAATTAGGAATGCATAAGTCTTGTTATAGTACGTAATAAAACTGTCCTTTATACAGTTCAAAATAATTTAATACCAAAGGTAGTTGGACTAGAATAAAGTGATTCGACACTAGGGCGATATAAAATGTATCATTTTAATTAAGTCATTCAGTGCAGATCAATTTTCTGGTTGTTGCAATGTATTCTTAATACTCTGTATTTATGAGTAAGATGAAGATGTCTTTCTCAAACCAAAGGCCAGAGTATATCATGTATACAGCTGTATTATAGTCCTGGATACCAATACAATGAGATAAGGTTGAAGGAAGAAAGGTTTCCTTTATACTTCAGGCACATTTGTTTGTTGAATCACTCGCCTAAAAATAGGGCTTCATAAAGTATTCAATACCAATCTAATTAGTCAAGAGAATGCTTCTTTTCAAAATGGAAAAGCATTCCCAAAAAGTGATGCAACATTTGTATCTAATTAGATTATAGAGGAGAATCCTAACCTAATTGCTTTGATAGACTTAAACAGATAAATAATGTGCAAGCGATAACTAAATAAAAACTCATTTTAACTCTGCATGGTTTGAAAATAAGGCTTCTTAAGAAGCTAAAACTTCCTGTTAGTTCTAAAACCCCAAGCCCGTGATTTGAGGGCGTTTCCATTTCTGAATGTATTTTGTAGGTTTTTCTGTGATAGAAAGGAAAGCCTGGGGAGTGAGATTGCAATTTGCATCTATAAGCAGCGTTTTGTGTACGTTCTAAGGGTTTGCAAAACTTTATGCCCAAAATCTGGTCATTCCATAATTAAGCGCTGGGTTTTGTGCATCAGAGAGGCATTCATTGATCATAGACCTCTAAGTAGCCTTTCTCTGTGATACATGGAATTGTTAGGACACTTAAAAGTTCATTTAAGAAAAGAGTAATGGAGCATCTTTGCAATATTAGACTGTCAAAGTTTGTCTTAACTGGCTTTATGTCCACTTACTGATAAAAGAAATGTTATATTGGTATTCATATCATACGTGACAGATCTGAATCCAGACTGATAGTATCTAATTTAAGTTTCTTTTTACTTTGTACCAAGTTTTCTATTTCACCACTTGACTAAAAAATTTTTGAAGTAAACATTAACAGCTGAGTGTGCAAAGAGGCTTCTTAAAACACAACATTTCAAAAAGTGAGACAGTTGCATTAAAAATTGAAAACATACTTTCAGCATATGAAAATTCAGGAGAAATTTTCCACGCGGGGAAGGGTTTGAGTGGGCTAAAGGGGGCAAACAATTCAGTGTAGTTTTGCATAGTTCTCCAATGAAATATTTTTAAGCATATTGTAATGAAACTGGACTGCAAAACAAATCTAAACGGCATGTCTTGGCGCACAGAAAAAAGAAGTAATTGATTTAGATGTGGAAAGTTGTGTTACTCGTGGTGAGATAACATGAGTTGTCTGGAGTTGTTATGAGATTACAGAGAAGAGGTATTTATTACATGGGTTGATGAAAATCAGGCCTTTGGATAGAATCCAGTGTCCAAAACACTTTGGATTTGGTCCAAAACCCAAATACTTTCTAAGCCAATCCAAAGTACTTCAGTTAGAATACTTTGATGGAGAAAGGGAAAATGGTATGGCAAAAGGGATGGGATTTTTCTGCCATCGAGTTGGAAGATTCTGGACTAGTAAGGAAAGTAAAGCTTTGAGTAGTCAAATGGATGCTCTGTATGTCAGAGCATTCAGGTCAGGCTGATCCCTATTGGGGTTTAAATGTCTTTTTTTCAATTACAGAACAGTGTGCCAAAACTAGTAGAGCGGTGCCACTGCCCCCTCCAGTTGTCCCTTTAAACTTGCAGCTTCTCCTCTAGGCTGCCTTATTGTATAAAATGTATTACAAAACCAGCCTGGGCCAGCAATAGGGTGAAAAAGAGCCAGACCCAGCATAATTTAAGTGACTCTCATCCTCTTTTTCCCGGCTGTCTTCCTTAGCTCCATCTTCTTTGTTTGGCTGCTAACCGGTTATTGGCAATATGCAAATTTCAACAATACTTTGTTGAACCAGATTTAAGAGGTTTAACTCTTCTTGGAGAGACCTGTACTGCGCTTAACTTTTCTATGGTGTTACGCAGTTCAATAAAATAACACATATCAGCTCTGCACATGCTAAACAGTTTAATGAAGGATTTCTGTACCGAAACATTGATCATAGAATCATTCAGGTTGGAAAAGACATCCAAGATCATCGAGTTCAACCGTCAACCCAACACCACCATGCCCACTAAACCATGTCCCTAAGCACCACATCTACACGTCTTTTAAATACTTCCAGGGATGGGGACTCCACCACTTCCCTGGGCAGCCTGGTCCAATGTTTAACCACTCTTTCAGTAAAGAAATTTTTCCTCATGTCCAATCTAAACCTCCCCTGGCGCAACTTGAGGCCGTTTCCTCTCGTCCTTTCGCCAGTTACTTGGGAGAAGAGACCGACCCCCACCTCGCTACAACCTCCTTTCAGGTAGTTGTAGAGAGCGATGAGGTCTCCCCTCAGCCTCCTTTTCTCCAGGCTAAACAACCCCAGCTCCCTCAGCCGCTCCTCATCAGACTTGTTCTCCAGACCCTTCACCAGCCTCGTTGCCCTTCTCTGGACATGCTCCAGCACCTCAATGTCCTTCTTGTAGTGAGGGGCCCAAAACTGAACACAGTGTTCGAGGTGCGGCCTCACCAGTGCCGAGTACAGGGGCACGATCACTTCCCTAATGGCAACCTCTTACTTCTGCCATTCATGCCCAGGAGAAATATGCAATGGTTGCGATACGTACTGGGTATTTTATTGCCTGCAGTCTGTGGAAATCTGCACAGAACTGCGCTGGGGTTTAGTGAAAAAAATCTCGCTTCCATGAGCGTTCTCCTACAAACACATAAAACATGGCTAGTTACACACTGATTAACTGTGTACTTTTACATGGCTAGTTACACACTGATTAGCCGTGTATTAAGAAGCTTCCAGGGAGCCTTAGCCCTCTTTTCTGTAATTCATTGCACACAGGCACATCGGTGTGTCCTCACAGACCCCAGCTTGCATATGAGCACAGTAAATTACAAGATAAAAGGTCAAACTTCGATGATGTGGATAGCATTGTTCGCTGTTCTCTGCTTAGGGTGAGTGTGGTGGTTGAAGTATTTTTGTACCTGGGGTAGAATGGAAAGTGGATCATCATACCTGTGCTCTGACTCATTTTTATTTTTTACATCACTCAAATTCTTGTGTCAGTTTACAGTTCTTTAGTGTCTAGTACTTCTCCAGAAAAAGTGATACAAACAATAAACTTTGACTGAAGGTATATGATTGAAGCAGCCATTTTATTCCAATTCACTGTACTGAGTAAAAATATTTAAATATTTTCCACAGACGAAGCGGTTAAGTGAATTCTTTTGCCTCTTTTAGTACTATTTCAAGCTATGTGCAGTACAGAAAAATGGTTTATCTGATTAGATGATGATAAGTAATACGGTGGTGATGGAATGGGATGTTAGCTGAGGCAGAGCATTGCAGAACCAGTAGAAATATAAGATTACTTCAAAGTGTCTCTTGCTGCTTGTGCAAAAAAGAAATTGATGGCTATTATTTTCTCGTAATGGATCCAGTGCAATTGCCCTAAATAGCAACATGAGCCACAGCAAGACTGGCCTAAGAGATGAGCAACCTTCTCTGCACTGTGTGCGTCCAGTATTTTTAAATATGTATTTTCTGATTCTGATTTTACTGTATTACAGAAAGTTAATTCTCATTAAAAATAATAGGGGAATTATTACTTATTTTAGCCTTACATGGGACCTGTAATAAAAATGCCAATGCAGCATTCAGCAATAATGCTGAAACTTGAAGGTAAAATCTGCCTTGGTTTTGATGAAACATCATCTGCTACCTTCTTAATCAGGACAAAACCTATCAAACACCAAAACTTCTAAACTGAAAACCTGAGAGAGTCTTGAACTGTTGCCAAGTGCTCTCCAAATCCTATTTCTGTGTACCAGATTTAGAGATTAAAGGATAGATTGTTTTCATACGAGAGATGGCAAGGTGTTTGATGTGACATTGACTCTAACCTTCGCTAGCTGGTACTCGGTCACCTCTCCACTGTCAGTGAGCAGGATCTCATCATAGTCTCATCCCTTCCCCAGTTTTGGCCAGCCAAGGATTATATCCTATTGGAGTGCTCCAGAGTACAGGAAAGTTGAAACAGATCCCTGCAAAACAGTGCCAGGCTATTCTAGAAGGCTTCGTCCTGCAGAAAATTGCAGTCTTTATTCCGAAAATCGCACTCTATTCTTTAGATTTCAGCACCTTATTCAAGGGGGTGTGTCCAGCCGGCTCCTTTCTAGTCCACATCCTCCTTGTAAATACCATGGCTATTTTTCTTCTTTATGTAGCATTTTGAACTTTACATTTATAAGGTAGCACATCTAAAGAGAATGTACTGCATAAGTGTACTTAAGGGAGTATTTTCGAGGACCGTATTTATGCCTCTCTAGTCTTCCTTTGGTGGTCTTGAAGGAAGGAGCTGTTGTTACTGTTAAATATAGATGTAATGTGGTGTTGGTACTGTTGTTGCAAAAATGTTGTAGGATCCTAAGTCTTTATGTTCCATTTCTCTCTCAAAGCACCTTTTCTTATTAAAATCAGTCAGGTCTATAGTAACATTTACTATGTTTTAAAACGTTAGCATAACATTAGTACTAGGAGTAAGGCAGAATTGACATGCGATTCCAAATAAAACCTGTTAGCATTGTTACTACAATGGTCATCAAGGAGTTCTAGGATTGTTGTTTGTTCTGATGTATTTACTATTTGAATCGCATATTCCATGTTTGTCTCACCATAATAAAACGTTCAATCTCAAGAGTTAAGTCTCACCTGGTCAACTTGAAAAACTGTTTTGGGGGAATAACACAGTTTGCATCATTCTGAACTTCTTTCGTGAAGATTTGCTCATATAGTATAATTGTATGGGGGGAATTACTACTTATGATTTTCAGGTTGTTTCATAGGTATTCTGAGATCAGTGCATTGATGCTGGCTTTTCCCTTTTTATTATAGAATTTTTTTGTGAGGTGATTGTTTTAATTTAGTCTAAATGCAGGGGGTTTCCATTTTTATGAATATTATCAACCCTAGAAGCAGCTTCTTTTACATTAAATTTGTTCAGTTTTATAAACAATTTTTAAAGGGCATTAATTGAGCTAGTCATCTGTTGATAATTCTGAACAGAAGCATATGTGAAACTATCCAGTTAAAAGATACATCCCTTAATTCACCCAAACTGTACATTAACTATTTAATAACAGCCGCACTCTCGTAGCTTTTAAGATGTAGCTCTGTTGCATCCACATATAAATAGAATATGCTAGCAGGATTATATTTACCCTAAACTTTATTTTCATGGCTCCATTGACATTTAAAATTGTGATTCTAAGCTCTTTAAATGGATGCAGCTGTATACATCTTCACGAGTTACGGAACTGGGCTGAAAGGCTTCAGAAAATGGCTCATGTGTTTTCTATATCTGTATTTTTCAGGCTGTTTTATTGGAGCCAGGGAGTCATGAAAGAAACTCAAGAAGACAACTTGGATAATGAACGGAAGATAAAAAGAAAACAAAAAGAATGTGGCATATAAAGGGTATAATACCTGGAGGTATTAGATCTGACTCATATTTATAAAAATGAGACGAGCTTTCACAAAATACAAGTTTTCTTAGACAGTCATCAAGCTTGGAGCCATGCTGTTGAACTAGAAATTCTCCTTTTCCCCATTCTCCTTTCTGACAGGTAACAAAGGATTGGTGAATTATGATTTTCCCAAGTTGGAAGCACTAATTTTTATCTATATAGTTCATCCTTATGAATATATAAGGAGTTAAACATTGCATATTTAATGTGGATTATAATGGGAAACTGACTCATTAACAAAAATGGCCACTTTTAAGGACTTGGTTTCAAACTGAGCTGGAGCCTCCCAATGCACTTTGTACAATTTGGGGAAAAGTGTACTGAATGGCCTTCTTTGGGAGGCCATGATGACATGTAGTAAAAGGATATCATCTTACTGTTGATATCTTTGAAGACTCATAAACAGAAACAGAAAAATGAATGGTGGAAAGGAGTGTGACGGAGGGGACACGGATGGAGGGCCACCAGCAGTGCAAGTTCCCGTTGGTTGGCAGCGACGGGTGGACCAAAGTGGAGTGCTCTATATCAGGTAAGGTTATCTGAGGCGGTTACTGGTTTTGTTTTTGTTGTAGTTTTGCCAGAACGTGTGGTAAGTCAGTGACTCAGCTAATCCTTTGTACTCAAAAACTTCAAGGGCTTGTTCTTTTGGAAGTGCGAGATCATTTTTTCTGCTGATAGTAGTGGAGCCCACTTATGTCAGTTGTGCTTTGCATGCCCTTAACGTACTCCCAAATCTAATATTGCTTGGTCTTAAAAATTTTATAATCCTTACTATACATTTTGCTTTAGGCATGAATAGTTCTTTATTACTTATTATTGTCATACGGATTTTAAAGCTGAGCAGTAGCAGATTTAACCTTACTTAATATCTTTATTATTCAAACCTTTTACAATGAAACTAACCAGAGGTTTAGTTATATGCCACACCTGAGATGATGAGAAATCTCTGCTGTCTTTTGCCTACTCCCAGATGTGTAGGCGTTGCCTTTTCCTTGCACCAGCACGGGCTTTTTATAAGAGCCATTGCTGGTCGAGTTCAAAGCAGTGCTCAGGCAGGCAAACGGTTCATGGCAGGTAAGGTAGAGTGGGACTTTCTTCTTCTGTCGGCAACAAGCCTTCACCTCCGTTCATGCAGTGCCATGCAACTTTATCCTGACATTCTGTAGCTCTTCTTCCCTAAGTCTTTTCTGGGTTTATGTTCCAGACCTCCATTATACTTTTGTGTTTTACTTACTGTCTTTTGAAAGGAAATTTAAGTGCTGTAACTACTTAGTAGCTGCAGGAAACATTGGTTTTTATATGCCCTGTGAAGGTTCTGTGTTCAGTATTGCTGACGTTCTCCAGCAAGATTTACTTCCATAGATTCTCATGTTTCTCATTTAGAAAAAATAGGAACACAAGCCTAAATCCAAAGTTTTAGGTATTTTATTTTTTTATTTTGTTAGCTTATTGAATTTTTTTGCTTCACCCTGGAACAGTCACAAATAAATCTATTGAAATTACTATTAAATGAATGTGTTCAGACAAACAGACTACAAATTAAATGTTATGGGAAAAAAGATCAAAGTTAGCTTTAACAAAATATGGGTACATCAGGTTTACATCACAGAAGTCTAAATTATTATCAGTTTGTTATTTGCTTAATCTTATTTCACTATTCTGTGATTAAAATAACCACTTCTTCACAACATTGTATGTATTACCAATACAAAATTCTTCAATGAGTCAAAGCATACTCCAATTTTACACTAAACTACCATAAAAGATCAAATGCATTCCAGGATTTCTTGTTTGTATTCTCAATTAGCAGAATCAAACAAAATCCATGTCAGTGATATGCATGTCAAAGATAAATCGCCTTCCCCTTGTATTTCTCATTAAAGCTATAATTTACTGGGCCTCTGCCTTAGTTAAAAATCAATGACAAAGAAGAAATTGCGGGTGGTTGGGGTTTTTTTCCCCTATCATCTCTATATCCAGGCATCAGAACATATAATGCTTTGGAATTTTTATATACCTGATGATGTTACCTGCTTTCAAACTCATTTTGTATGGCTGTAAGAAGCAGGCCACGAAGCTTGTGCTGCTGCTTCAAGCACGTATCTTTCCTGTTTGTAAACCAGTAAGTGTTGTTCTAATTCTGACAATTATTTGCTTTTCTATCTTCTTTTTATATATGTTCTCTTTTTTCAAGAGGAACTTTCTTAATATTTCTGTTCTGAATTGCCTTACGCAAAACACCGTTTTTATTCTAGTTGACCCTATTAATCAAGTTTACCATTTGCCTTTTTCAGCTTGGGGAGGCTTGTATTATTTCTGCCCTCTTCCCAAGTTTTGCCCATGTATTTTTTTTCTCTTTAATCCAATGGTTAATTTTCTGGTTGCCTTCTGCAAGCCATTCTGCTTAAGGAAAGGTGCTTAGTATGGTCCACAGCTCCTACATTCTTATTTGGTGAAAGGCACAGAGCAGGACATGTTGGTTGGAAAGGGTGGAAGTCAAATAATCCAACCTCCAGCTTGATGTGGAGTGTCCGCAGCGCTCGGTCAGGTCAGCCCTTGGTTTCACCAGCTGCATCTTCAGGGATTGAGTTGCCACAACCTCTCTGGGTAACCTGCTCTAGTGCTGCACTGCCCTTCGGAAGGAACAACCATCCTGAAAATATGCACAGCATTTATTGAGAGAATGAAAGGTCAAACAATATTGACTCAAAAGCTATCCAAGAGAAAATTAGTGTATATATTAAGATCTGACATGATTTAACTAGAATAGATGATCCCAGCTGAATAAGGACTCATTCTATTTGTACTCCTTATAAAGCATGCATGCTTTTCTATCAACTGTCAACAGTTGCTTTGGATTAAATCCATTAATTAACTAGTTTTTATTACCTGGTAGAAACAGTAACTTTTCTTAGTAAAACAGTACTACAGCCTTAAAGTAAGACCTAGATCTCTTCTTCGGCTTAGTCATCAGTGGAATAAACTGAGAAAAGCTCCTAATAAAAAGGAAAAGATTTCAGAACTGTCAGTAACAGATCCTAATATATTTTGTAATTTGCTCGCTCTTGTTTCTTTGGGGTCCAAAAACCTCTGGATGACCTCAGTGATGAAAAAAAAGCTGCCTGTTTCTTACAAAGGAAGCTGCTGATTATCCTTTGCAGTGTAGAAACACAAGAAAATCTGTACACACAAAAGATACTTTGCAATTACATAGGTCTGTGCAGGAACAAGGCAGAAACAGAAAAATGGGGCCTTTTTTAAATTTTGTTGTTCCTTGTGGAGAAATAACCGTGCATGTATGTATGTGCAGCAAGGGATGCTGAATCCCACATGCCACAGATTCGGTGGACTGATCTGTGCACTCCTGGCAAGCATGAGTATCCAGACCTTCCTTTACACCCACTGATCATCGGTGCAGTACGTATGTGCCTTACAGGTCTGTTGATTCCAGGCTCCAGCATCTCCTTGCGCCTGAACTGGGTATGTTTGCCCAGATTTCCCAGGCAAACTGCGCGCCAAGGAAGGTTATTTAAAATTGCTTTATTCTAGAAATAGGAAAAAAAAATGAACTCTGACGGTATAGCTTTAGTCTTGCTGCTCAGTAGGCTTTTTTTACCAATGCAAACAAAATGGCATCCTGACGCCAGAGCATATTCCCAGGGATGCCACTTAACACAAGCTTTTTAAGCGTCACAGAACGTGTCCGTAGAGATTTTGCGTGTAGATGGGATAGCGTAGAGCAAATTCCAGTCTGATTTTCTCCCGTGGGAAGCTGTTAGATCTTCAAGCGTGGACCTCGCCTGGGGTGAGCAGTCGCTCCCGTGTGCGTAGTCAGGACAGGTTGGGAAAGTCCAAAGCGATCGGCCAGCGCTGGAGATGTGGAGCCAAAACAGAGACCAAGTGATACTCGCTGAGTTAAAATGCGATAATGGCATCGTGGTTTAACCAGTTTATAGCTGAAATTAAAAATAATTTAAAAAAGAGTTATTTCCCCCTGCACCCCAAGTATTTCAGTTTAAGACAGGGAAGGTTTGACTTTCTGGCCTATCACTTTCCTTCACACCCATACCATTATTTTTAGATTGCTCTTTTTATCTTGCTTACCCTCAGAACTGTCACTGTTACACATCCTCGACCTGGGCAGTTCTCTCTAAAATAACTATTTCAGGGCAAATCTGGCAAATTAATTACTTACTTAAACTGCCAGCATAACTTTAAATGTCACTTGCAGATGTTGCTTTATACGTGACTTAGTTCTTGTGCAGAATTAGGTGTTTATACATTGGGTTTTAACTACAAAAGTTCGTCATATTTTGGAATTTTTACTCTTGGCTGTTTTCATGATCCAAACTATTCCACTTAAGTTGTTTTTGTTAAATATTCCACTTAAGTTGTTTTTGTTAAAATGCGGGCTATTTACAGCTGCCATTAAGAACCAGAGTTTTAGCCAGTCCTCATAAATTATTGTATTCTTTCCCTGATAAACAGTTTAGATGGCTAAGTAATAAAGAGCAATCTGGAAGGTAGAGGCTTGTGACATGAGAACTTTCTTCATCTTATGAATTAGTGACTTTGCCGTAACAGAATTTCCAGTGTCCTATTTTTGGATATGGAGATAATGATTTTCTGGTGGGAGTTAGAGAAATCCGAGTGCAGTTTATCAGAAACTCACTGGACTGGCTTCTTGGTGTAATATTTCTCACTTTCAGTGGGAAGGCTGAAATTTTAGCTGAATGAAACCAAACTGTTTGCCACTAAGAGACTCAGCCACAACAGTTCTGTTTCTCTTCCCCCTTTTCTGTAGGGGTTTTCTTGTACTTGTGTTTCAAGAGAAACACACTTTTGTGTTTTTTCTTTTTAAATTAGGTCCCAGTCCTAAAAAGTACAGATGACTCTAATGCCTGCATGGAACTGCAGTGATGTGATGGGGGGGAGGAGGTCCGTGGGGACGGCGCTTTGCCTGTGTGTTACGCTTTATAGGAGAGAGGAGGGAGAAAAATAATCTTAGTGTAGTTAGGCAGTAGTTAAGGCTTTCAAGCAGGACTGTAATGTGAATAGTAAACATCAATAATCTCAGTTACTTTCTTTTCTCTGCGCTTGCTGTGTTTGTTTGTCTGTAGTAAAATCTTCCTTTTAAAATGTTTTTTTGGGGGGCTGTTCTTGATAAGTACCATCTCAATTCTTGACGAAAAGCAAGAAGTACTATGAAACAAAATATGAAATCTTAGCTGTGTTATTTTAAACGCTCTCTATGTGAGCTGTTAGAATGGTAGATAGAAGTCATGACCTATCAAATAGCTTGTATTCATCATTTCTGTTCCTTTACAGTCCCAGTGGGTCTTTATTATCCTGCTTGGAGCAGGTGAAGACTTACTTGCTGACTGATGGAACATGCAAGTGTGGCCTAGAATGTCCTCTTGTTCTTCCCAAGGTAAAGAAAAGCACCATTTTGGATCTCTGCACTGTAATCCTTATCAGTTATGTCAGCTGATGTGCTGTGCTATGACTTAATCTCTGTTCGGATCATATATATAAAATGAGATAAGTGGTATACACCCAAAGACTTACCATAAAATATGAAATTAATCTCCCTTCTGCCTTCTCCCCTCATGGAAAAGATCTGACTTGGTTTTTATGGTGTTTTAACATTTTCCTATTAAATTGGAAGCCTACCATCAACAGCATCATGTTAATGTGTGAGAATCAGAACGAGACACTGGCTTACGTGATAGCTTCAGTATCAGCTCCACAATTTTATCGTCTGTACACAAATTGTAAACTTTTCTTCTTAATCACAGAGCAATCTCAAACACACATGGTCCTTTCTCCTTTTTTTCTCCCTACCCTTTATACTGAGGGGTGTTAAACTTCTTTTTGCTAGATGACAACTTCCAAGGCTGTTTACTTATTATAAATATATTCACTATTTATAATCTTGAAATGTACTGTAAAAGTTATCTCTTGGGCAGTGTAGTAGCAGTCAGATAGCTCTAAGGAACAGAGGCAAATTTAATTTTATGTAAAATTTCTGGTTTAGGTGTATTTGGTGAGTTTGCTGCTTATAATAATTATTTTAAATGTTGGAATTTTTACTTTCAGGTCTTTAATTTTGATCCTGGAGCTGCTGTGAAGCAGAGAACTGCTGAAGATGTTAAAGCGGACGAAGATGTCACCAAACTATGCATACACAAAAGGAAAATTATTGCTGTGGCTACACTTCATAAAAGCATGGAAGCACCACATCCTTCACTAGTTCTAACTAGTCCTGGTGGTGGAACAAGTGAGTAAAATCATGCAGAATCATTGAATTGCCTAATCTTAAATATATATCATTACTATACAAAAACACCCCCGAAAGTCTTATATATCTATGAGTACAATAGTAAACAGATTCAAGGAAAAAATGGAGGTAGTAATTAGAGAGATGTAGGTAGATAGAAAATGAGTCTAAAAAGCAGGTCATCCCAGACTAAGAGCATGATTTTCTTGGAAAAGATATCAGATTGTTCTAGACGAAGAAAACACATTAGCTCTCATCTTTTGGAACTGTAGTAATATGTCTGATATTCTGTCACATGGGAAATTAGAGAAGCAGAATAAAGTGATTATAAAGGGATTAGAATGTGGCTAAGGACTTGGCTAAATGGGAAATTGTATTGCAAGGCGGAATATACAGCAAGAGAAGATCTTCACTGTAATTTCTCAAGGATTATTTTTGGGGACCAACCTGGATTAGCATTTTAATTATCCATATCAACAAAAAATGAGGTAATTTGTTGATGGATGAAGTTGACAGGTATTATCAAGACAAGAGAAGATCAAACCATGTTGAAAAACTAGGGGATCATTGAGACCCGGAGTGAAAGAAAAGGTGTAGCAACAAATCCTGTTAATTGTAAGGTTATTCACCTGGGGACTAGTGAAAAAAGCTATTAGCTGTAAATTATTGAGAAAGAAGCCCTAGATACAGTAGCTGATCAAAGATGCCTGTGAGCAGTACCAGATGGCAGTATGGTGCAGATCAATGTGACTGTAAGAGAGAGAAGTACAAATGCCATTGTATGCTTACTGCCTTCCTGCACCCCTGTTCTCGCTAGCGGCTCTCAAGCTGAAATAAAGCAGAGGATCTTCTCTTAGGGAACTGCAAAACCTGTTTTATGAAAGTCATCTAAAAGCGTTTAGCCTGTTCAGCCTGGCAAAATGGTGGCTGAAAGGAAATTGCTGTCAATAAAGGCATCAGGAGAATCAGCACCAGAAAATAAAGCTATTTAAGCTAAAGGACAAAGTTAGCACTGAAAGACACAGCTACAAAAACAGAGTTGCATAGAAACTTAAACTGAAAATTAGGTAGTTTCTAAGGATTACAAGAAAAGGTTCTGAAGTAGTCTTACAAATCCAAATGGTTAGGACAAAGGAGTGAAGGTTACTTTTAGGACAGAGGTCAATAAGTTTATGGGTATATACTCTGATGCATGCAGCTTCTGGGAAGTGGCCCTTGATAATCTGAGAGATCTTTTGCACCCCTATATTGCTGTAGTAATAGCTGGCTAATTGCTAACCGCTCTGTAGCTTGACTTCAGAGTGGAAGATTTTAAATGTATAAAAAAGAGTAATAAATCTCAGATACGTAGACAATGCTAAGATACCAGTGCTGTTCGTAGTACTGATGTGCTCTTGCATTTTCCAATTGCTATTTATGATTTTAAAGCTTTGTTTAAATTGTTTTTTGCAATGTAATTTTTTTTAAAAAAGAACAGTGCAATTTCCCAAATTACTATACATTTTCCTTATTAATTTTTTTTTTGTATTCTTTATTGGTAGTACTTAAATTACATTTCTGTTTTCAGAAAATTAGCAAAATGAAGGAGGTAAAACCAGCTAAATATTAAAGACACAAGTCACATTTATTTGGTCTTACCTTCTCTGTTGATCAGAATTTTGTGCGCTAAGCAAAGAAGAAAATTTCCCAATAAATTGCCTTTTCATTTATGCACATTTACATTTGACCATTTGCTTAGGTCCAGCACTCAAGGTGAGGGTTCTCGTACGTGTCTCGTTTTGCAGTTCAGTCTTGTGATTTGTCCCCTGAATGAGACTTTGGTTGTATTTTGGGAAGGGTAATATGTTCGTTTCTGTCATGATGTAGCTGGTTGAGCAAATAGGATGAAGGCAGGATTGTCAGTGCCATCTGTCTCCTGTGGCCAGGCTGAAGGAAAGAAGGGAATTGGGTTCTTGTGAGTAGAGGAATTTAAAGGCACCTCTGAATTCATTTGAACGTGAAATCTTTAGCTCATTACTCAAGTTTAAGTTTGCATATTCAGAGGCTGCATGCCAAGAATGCATTCATTTTCCTTTACTGGGCTCGCACTGCAAGCTGAATTACAAATTCCCAGAGCAGCAAAACTGGCAGAAAGTCCGCCAGACTTGGAGCTGCTTGGGGTGGTATTCTTAAAGTAAAACATTGAAAAAAATATTGTTTTAAGTAAAACGGATATTGGTGGGCAGAAAAGGAAAGTGATCTTGTGCTTGTAGGAAAGTCTAGTCTCACAACTGGGATTTACAGGATATTTTTCCATTGTAGAGGGGTTCACATCTCTGCATATGCAAATATCCCCAAGGCCTTTATCCTGAAAACAAGCATATAAAGTAGAGCCCCTTCTTAAATTTAGCATCTTCGCCCCAAGCAAAGGTTGTTGCAGAAGCTGCAGGAGAAGCCTTAGTTCAGTAAAGTAATACAGGACATGATATAATGTGTGTCCTCACCTTTTTAGCAAAGCAGTTCCCAGGAACAGATTAACTCAGAGGACTGGAACTCGGTGCCCGTGGTGCCAGCGAGTGATGCGGAGCAGCCGGAGAAGCTGCGTCCTGCCTTGCTCAGCCGTGGTCTCTTAGGTCTCTGCAGTTAAGTGCATGGCTGAATAGAAATCTGGGCCAAAGCCGTATGGCATGGCTCCCCATTCGTCCTCATCAGGGACAGCGTTTGGGGCAGGACCCTTTTCTCTGTAGGGCGTGGAGAAATTAGTCTAAACCCTTGTTGGGCTTTGTTCCTCCTGTACTCAATAGATGGTGCCAGAGGCTCCTTTTCCCTGCAGCAGTGATAGCCTGCTCCTCCTGCCAGCTCTTCTAGCGGAGGCCAAAGTGGTGATGCTGGAGATTCAGGAGTAGGACACTGGAGATGACAGTTAGAAAGAAAAGACAAAGGGGAAGGAAAAAGATGTAAAGTTGTCCATTTTTATGCAGTCTTTCTATAGGATATGGCGTTAAAGGTCTATACAACTGCACTACGTAGTAGGGTAGGGTAGCATGTGCCATTCCGGCAACTACTTGGTGATTCAGGTATTATTTCTGTTGAGGCAAAAGTTTAGCCAAAAGGCTTTCTAGCTTTTATGAATATTTTCACACACAGTAGTTTTGCACTGAAATGTGTGATATCGGATTTCAAAACAGTAACTGTTGTGTTTTTAATATCAGGTGCAACTCCAGTAGTTCCTACTCGAGCAGCAACTCCAAGATCAATGAGGAATAAATCACATGAAGGAATTACAAATTCTGTGATGCCAGAATGTAAGACTCCTTTCAAGTTGATGATAGGGGCATCTAATGCCATGGGTAGGCTTTATGTGCAAGAAATGGCTGGAAGCCAGCAACAAGAACTTCATTCTGTCTATCCTAGGCAGAGATTGGGTAGTAATGAACTTGGACAGAAGTCTCCGTATCGTGGCAGTCATGGTGGGATGCCCAGTCCAGCTTCATCAGGATCACAGATATACGGAGATGGCTCAATCTCGCCTAGGACTGACCCACTTGGAAGCCCTGATGTTTTCACAAGGAGCAATCCCAATTTTCATGGAGCACCCAACTCTAGTCCTATTCACATGAACAGGACACCTCTATCTCCACCATCAGTAATGCTACATGGTTCTCCCATACAGTCATCCTGTGCAATGGCTGGAAGGACTAATATACCTCTTTCCCCAACCTTGACCACAAAAAGCCCAGTAATGAAAAAACCCATGTGTAATTTTTCAACTGGTATGGAAATACCACGAGCAATGTTTCACCATAAACCGCCCCAAGGTCCACCCCCACCTCCTCCACCGCCTTCTTGTGCTCTTCAGAAAAAGCCATTAACATCAGAAAAGGATCCACTTGGCATACTTGACCCTATTCCTAGCAAACCAGTGAATCAGAATCCTGTTATCATTAACCCAACTACTTTCCATTCAAATGTCCACTCTCAGGTACCCGTGATGAATGTAAGCATGCCTCCTGCTGTCGTCCCTTTGCCAAGTAATCTCCCTTTGCCAACTGTAAAACCCGGTCACATGAACCATGGAAGTCATGTTCAAAGAGTTCAGCATTCTGCTTCAACTTCCCTCTCTCCTTCACCAGTGACATCCCCAGTTCATATGATGGGATCCGGGATTGGAAGGATCGAGGCTTCTCCCCAAAGATCACGTTCTTCTTCCACGTCATCAGATCATGGAAATTTCCTGCTGCCTCCAGTAGGACCACAGTCATCCTGTAGTGGTATTAAAGTTCCTCCCAGGTCCCCAAGGTCAACAATAGGGTCACCGAGACCATCTATGCCATCTAGCCCTTCCACCAAGCATGATGGACTTAATCAATACAAGGACATCCCTAACCCATTAATTGCTGGAATGAGTAATGTATTAAATCCTCCAAACAATGCAGTTTTTTCTACTGCATCGGCTGGAAGTGGTTCCTTGAAGAGTCAGCCTGGTTTGCTGGGAATGCCTTTAAATCAGATCTTGAACCAGCACAATGCTGCCTCTTTTCCAGCAAGCAGTTTACTCTCAGCAGCAGCCAAAGCACAGCTAGCAAATCAAAATAAACTTGCTGGTAACAACAATAACAGCAGTAGCAATTCTGGACCTGTTGCCAGCGGTGGCAACAACGAAGGACATAGCACTTTAAATACCATGTTCCCTCCTGCTGCCAATGTGCTTCTACCAACAACTGAAGGGCAAAGTGGCCGAGCAGCACTGAGAGATAAATTGATGTCTCAGCAGAAAGATCCTCTGAGAAAAAGAAAGCAGCCGACCACCACGGTGTTGAGTTTGCTGAGACAGTCTCAGTTGGACAGTTCTGGAGTTTCCAAAGCTGGATCTGATTTGATAAGAAAGCAAAGTCAGAGCTCCTTTCCCATCAGTTCTATGTCCCAGCTACTTCAGTCCATGAGTTGTCAGAGCTCTCACATGAGCAGCAATAGTACCACCAGTTGTGGGAGCTCAAATACTGCTTTACCTTGCTCTGGTAACCAGATGCATTTTGCAGACACCAGTATGAACTCTGGCAGTCTCCAGAACTCGCTGGCACAGAGTTTACCCTTGCGAGGGGACGGTGTGCACTGCCAGAACACAAACACTAACTTTGTCCACGGTACTAGCCCGGGCACAACCAACCATCTTGCAGGTTTAATAAATCAGATGCAGGCTAGCGGGAACTGTGGGATGCTCAGTCAGTCAGGAATGGCTTTAGGAAATTCATTACATCCGAACCCACCTCAGTCGAGAATCCAGGCATCCTCCACTCCAGTGATACCAAACAGCATTGTTAGCAGCTGTAATCAAACAAGTCCTGAAGCAGGTACGTTTCCTTCTAAAAGGATACCCCTATGTTTGACTGCTTGGAAATATATGATGACTATTTTTAAATGGGTTCCTTTTACGTATCTACTTTTTAAATTTGAGTTTACCAATACACCAATATGAAAAGTCTGCCTATTCCATGCTGAGATCCAGAAACTCAAAAATAAATGAGAAAAAAAACAGTGGTAGACTAAAATATATCTCCCTTTTCCTGAACAAAATCATCTTGGCCTCCTTCCTGTGACAATTCTTGCTTTTATTAACTTCCACACACTCTGCATAAATAAAATCCATGCACTTTTGTACATACCCAGACCTCAGCTTTTGTCACTTGCCCAAATAAGTTGGGTGTTTGGGGGTTTTTTTGCTGCATGCCCTGCTACTTCAACCCTAGAATGCAATGGCTAGGCTAACCTGGCAGTGTATGTCCAGACTATACATGTGTTCTTTACTACTTGCATTAAAGAGTTGGTGTCATCAGAGATTGGAGCAAATACTAGGGAGTACGAAAGTTTACAAAATAACCCTTTTCAGGGACAGCACGGGGGAGTGCCAAGTCTGTGTTTGCCTTTATCATGATAACTTTACTAAGCTGGTAATTAAATGGTTGAATAAACTGTATATTCAGTTCGAAGAGTGTAGAGAGATTTCCTGGTTTATTCATCAGTGAAGACTTGGAGAGGAAACAGGTATGCTGCTGTTACTGTCTCCGTGCTGTTTGAAGATAAAGGGGAGACGGCTCAAAAATTTATATTTCATTTAACTACTACTGGTTGAACAAAGTATGCATTTTTGAAAGGTGGTACTGTGTTAATTTCTTAAGCAGAAAGAAAACCTTCCATTTGATATTTCAGTCTTTCAGCTTGGTTAACTTTCAAAGCATGCGTTTGATACAATCATAGCTAAACTACATCAGGTCAAACGAAAGTGACTGTAAGCATGCAAGCGGTCTCTCTCATTAACCCAAGAAAGAACCTGATATGTGTTCCTGAGCTTCCTCCAAGAGAGCTGTTTATTCTTTAAAATACAGAACAGAATTATAAAAACTGGATTATGTAAAAATAATTTTCTGGTATTATGCTGGTCACAGTTTCTGATGACTTTTAAGGGTTTCTCTCCATTCCTGGGGAAAAAAGGCATTTTTTTTTTCCTTAGCTATATTGGTGGTTTGTGTCGCAAGCAAGCAGCTATTAATCCTTGCATAGCTGTTTTGCCTTGTCATGCTGACGAAGAGGAGTGTTTCTTGATATAGTCTGTCTCTTCTGAGACTTTTTGCTCTCTTCTGAACAGAATAAAGGTCTGGTTTTGCCTTAGGAGCTTGCTTCCCTGTCCCACTAAGCATACTACAAAATCCTTTTAGCAGGAACGCTTTGGGTTTCTGCCTCTGTTGAGTTCAGTGGGGACCGGTGGTAGGTATGGGTTCTTCTGAATTGTCGCTGTCCACACAGCTGAAGAAAGCTGTGAAGTTATTGCAGCATTGGACTACATTAACTTGCCCTCCGGCGAACAGAAAAGACTGAGCGTTATGTGAGATAAGAGCCTGTGCGCCAGCGGTTACCGTCAAGAAGCTGAGCAGTAGTAATTCACCCCGTGTGGGGTAAGGGTTGAAAAGGTTCAAGATTCCTGCACGAAATTCAGACTGGAACCGATTAAGAGAAGTTTTACATGACATAAAAGTTATCAATAAAATGTTGCTTAACGACTACTAAAGCGGGCTTCGAAGAACAAGAATCCAAGTTCATCCCCGTGCGGGATCTTCTTGTTCCTGCTCCATCACTTTGACCCAGCCATGCCCTATAGCCATGCCCTGCCTTGGTGCAGTGGTAGCTGGGACCACTCGTGAAGGCTGCCTTCGGGCTGATGGCACGGCTTGTCGTCATTCCGATGTTAGTTAATCAGGGCCTTTGCTTGTATCGCCAGTCCTTGTCTTCGGGCAAGCTGAATTTCTTCCTGAGAAGACAAATGCGACAGAACAAATCTGTGCATGTGTCAAAGCCCCGTGAAGAAAGGTTTCAACATAAGCAGCCAATTCAGTGCTCATCAATGTAGGAATAGAAATATGTATATAACCCCACCTGGGAGCTTCTGTTCTGCTGTGGTATTACTACAGAATGGTATTTCTCAGACCCTGGAGATAATTGATAGAATTATAGCAATATAATTATAGGGCCTTAAACTGACATTTTTTTTCTTATCTAAATGATAAGCGGTAGTTCTGTGTAGGTAAAGACTAGCAAGATTTGAATATGTTCTGTTCCTCACTACTGAAGGGGTTTGTTTCTGTAGTTTTGATGCTTGCAAAATACACACAACCTGCATTTAATTATTTTATTAAATATCCATGATGGCTAGAAGCCTAGAGACCTGTTTGCTTCTTTAAGATGAAATTTCAGATTCTGTTCTCTTTGCCCAGGGGCAAGGCCCTAAACCGGTACGTAAACCTTCATCCAGCCTCCTGCCTGAGTCATCACAGCAGCATGGGGCTCAGGCGTAAGATTTAAATCTGATCCATAGCTGGGAAAATCCAGATAGGGACACTTTGTTGTATTTGCAGGAGAACGGAAGCATTCTTTCCATGAAACAAGTGTGAAATGTTGAGTATTTTGCATTAATAATAATTATTATTAATAATTAATTATATTAATAATTATTATTAATAATAACTTTAAAAAGAAAAGTTAGTTACTGGTCTGCATTCAGTTATGTAGACAAAACAGATAAGAGGTATATCACGAATTATTCTGTACAGAGGCATAGGGGGTGGGTAGTTTTGGTGGATGGAGCTGAGCAAGTTTCAGACGTGCTATGTGAACCACGCTTTCAAGAGCAGTTTAGCTGAGTAAGAAGTCTTCAGGAAACTCGTGTTCATATTTGAGTTTGTGGCTTTTTTTTTTTTTTTTTTGCTTTGTTTTTAAGTATTTTAATTGCTAAATCTGTTTTCTGTTTCTGTGCCAGCATTCAGAATAGCTACTAATCAGAAAATAGTTCCTGAGAGAAAAAATACTGAGAATCACCACAATTAGATAGCTGGTTATTGCCTAAGCTTTTAATTATATTTTAACCACATGGCCCAAGTTTTATTATTCTAGCTGTTGTTTTCTTCTTCCGCAGATAGTATCTTTAGTTTCCAGGTAATTTTCAGTACGTGTGATGGAATTAAAAATGAATAAATACAAAAATAAAAACGTCTATTTATGCAGTAGAAAGCTTTTGTAGTTTTCCAAGTTTGGGCCCTTGAAAAGCAGTTATGCTCAATTAATTTTTATTAACAATTTCAGTCTCTCCATTCTATAGTATTTGGGTTGCAACCACTGTTTAATAACAGCTATCTTCCAGGAGGAGCTAGCAGCAGGTCTGTATAGATTACCTAGGGCTGCTCCTTTGGAAAGAGTCCATTTTCTGCCAGGAGACTGGGTTCTAGACTCATTTTTTCCAATGAGTGGTGTCAATATTTCTGTTAACTTTGACGCTGTATTCCTCATTAATCAAGCCCTCGGACTTCTGCTACAAACTGAAGGTAGAATCCAGTCTGCCAATTTGGCAGCTTTAAGATTTATTCATTAAGCCATTTTGCCTCTCTTTGGATTTGTGTGTTCTTTTTGTATAATGGGACTGCATCGCTGTGTGATATATTTTATTGCAGTCTGGTTCATTTATTTTTTTCTTGCTGTTAGAATACGCCGTTAGTCCAGAAGTTCATGGTGTAGAAAATCTGTGTGTGCGTGTTGAACATTCAACATGCAAATGCTGCTAAGAATGCAACATGCATAAATGATGGGATAGATGAAAACTAAGTGAAAAATATTTGGGAGTAAAAGCTATATACAGCTGATAAGGGAAATCAAGGGAACTAATATAATAACCATAGCAAATAGCAATAAAGGTGATAAGTTGTCTCAAATATCAGAACATCAGAAATATGAGAAACTCCAGGTCTAGAAGTTTAGTAGTGACAAATAAAGGGCAGATTTGGCAAACAAAGGCTATATCCCTTCCATAGACTCAGAACAGTAATTTTTACTGGTGAAATTTACAGAATAGAAAATAGTAAAATATAATTAAATAGGGAGGAGCTTCTATCCCACTCAAACAGAGTTTATTTTAATACAGCCAAGTACAGTGTAATATAATTGGGAATGGAACATTGCCCTGGAAAACAGTGACTCAAAGAAGGGTTTTAGGAGGCTTTGATTTAATAGACATAATGCAAACTGTCAGATCAGTGATGTTGCAAAAAAACACCCAAAAAAACCACCTCCCAAAAAACCCGCAAAAAGAGAAGCTGGGTGGATCCTTGGAAACATAAAAGTGGGAATACGCAGTGGAACTGGGGATGCTCCTGGCTCTGTGTATACTTGAGAAAACCAGAGTTAGGATGTGGCGTTCTGGCTAGCGGTCACTCCTCGTGAATGGTACAGAAATACTAGAGATTTCAAAGGAGGGCCACAAAATTGATACGGGTGGTGGTCGATCAGACCTCGGGATGTAAGCCCTAGAGGCAGTGTCTGTACTCTTGTCTTACGGAAGATCCTGAAGTCAGGCTCACCTCCCACGCTGTGAGCTTGTCAGCAGACCAAATGCCAGGGAGTTGAGCTGGATGCGAGGTATTCCAGCACTTGGGAATGCCCTGGAATCTGCTCTTTCAAAGAAGTAGTCAAGGAATAGCATCTCTTCCTGTAAGTATTTATACTTGGGCAGTATCTGAAAAGGTGGAGGGCTGAATTATTTTTACCTTGTTGGCAGACATTTGATGACAACTTCCAGTGGCTGAAAGCTTGTAAATTCAGCATCAGAGAAACGAGTGGCTTCCTTTTTGTGAGAATACTGAACATTGAAGTACTCTAGCAGAGGACATGCTGAGCGTATGAAAAGAAAGAGTCTTAAAGAAATTTCACAACCCAAGTGTGCATAGGATTGTTCTGAATGATGATGGTGGTCGCTTCTGACCTTAGCATCTGCTCGGCTCCGTTCCCCTCGTGCTGCCCTCCCGTACTGACC